TTTTAATTCCAGTCTCCATTACAGACCAGAGAAAACTAAACAGAATGCAATGTTGTGTTAATTCATTTATTGTCGAAACAGAGGAGCCGACAGTTTATCTTGAGGAAATAAATGGCGGTGCAGAAGTTAATGAGACCGTAACATGTGCAGTGCACTGCGGCTGCACAACCAATGCGAACGCGGCTCCCCCGCTGCAAAGAATTAAACTTAATTCACTCAGCGGTTTCAACAAATGGAGCTGGAAGACATTACCTTCCGCGCGAGAGCGGTACTCAGAAGGAACGCGCCAGATGTAACATCAGTTCGTTTCGGAGAAGCGAAGCCACGCACAAAAGATCCTTGTAAAAGCACACGCCCGGACCGCACAGGGTAAAAAGCTAGCAGAGTTCAACTGATCGGTTTGGATCAGACAGATCCAACTGACTGATGAACTAGTGTAGATTTCTCTGCAGATGGGGACCAGGAGGAATTTGTGAGGTTGTGCGTTCAGACCCCAGCAAGATAAGTGACCGTAATTTAAGTGGAGCCATTTAATTTAATTTATTACAAGTTATTGGGGCCACAGTCAGTGGTTTTTGTTTCTACAGAGAAAAAGTTAGATACATTCATCTGCTTTATGTGTGATGGGTTTAACTAGGTAAATATTAACTAAACCGCATAAAAATGCGGCTAAATAGCCGATGTTAGTATGATTATAACTGACGGGTAAAAATAGAACATGACCGATTTTTTTTAAATTATGCCGCGCTAAAGTCTAGCGCGACCGCTAGACTATTTCGCGCCTTAGGGCGACCTCTGATATATGCCACGTAGCACCCGGTGTGGTCTTATGCCTCAAGGTTTGACGTGTTGTGCATTCAGAGATGCTCTTCTGCATAGTTTTCTTAACTCACATATTGTTGTTTTGAGTTATTTACAGATTCTGAATGTGTCTCAGCTTTCCAATGATGCCAAACCCATGGGGAAAAAAAAGTTGTTCTTTATTACCAAGTGTTGTGTGCATTAATAACATTTAGGTCTATTTGTGATTTAAAAGCACAATTAAAGAAAAATAGACTTGAGCTCCTTTATCAGAAACAAAAAATTATTTTATGCACCATCAAATATAAAAAATAATCCACCAATTTCCACCAATTGTATTTATTTATAGTAATTTATTATATATTGATTTATATTATTTTAATTCAAAATAATAGTAGTTGTAGACGCATAAGCAGAGCATAATTCATTACCAAGCAAAGTCATAAAAAACAAACAAAAAAACCCAGTTCTGACTAACTGGAGCAACTCCTACCACTAACCGTTCAAAGGAATCCAATCGCTGGTGAACGACACAATAACCTTCTCAGGGCCCACGGACCACCAATGTTCCAGGGATCAAAGTTTGAGAAAGACTACTCTATGGGCATGGAAGGAAGAGGGGTTTTGGAAATCCCAGGATGTCACATCCATAATTGCATCCATATGCCAGCATCCTTTCTGTTTCCATGGTAACTAGAGCAGCCATGGCAAGTGGAAAAAGTGGGAGGAAAATGTATGTGGGATAAAGATGGAGTGGGGAGGTTAGAGAAAAATGGTTACTGGAATGCAGCATGTTAACTAATCGCTAGTTCATGATAAGAGCCCTTCTAAATGAGGTCTGTGGAATTGTGTGTGTGATCCCCATGAGAATACACTTACAATTAAACAAATGTGAGAAAATATCACAGCACTCCAAACTGCTCTTTTCTTCTGTTCAGTGGATGATGTGAAATATTGAAGCTGATCAGAATAGCAGTCTCAGCTGTGCATGCATTCATATACTGATATAAAGATTATTAAGCAATGTGAAGATAAGTACCTGGACCCCAAAGTGGGGTTGCAGTTCTCATTGAAATTCAAATAACACATGTAGATTGGACAATGAAATTCCCATAGCCCCCTCAGCAATTCTGCAAGATAAAGATCTAGTCCACTGTTCAACAGCCAGGACAAAAGTCACAGTACTGAGTCAAAATTGAAAGCCTTAGATTACGCTTTCACAGGGAGTGCTCCAGTACCCTTTTTTAAAAAACTGAACCTACCACCTCAGTCTACCTCTTCACAGGTGTTGTCTGGGTTTCCATGTGATACTTCACAGGTATGTCAACTATAACAGAGCTTTCAGAATCTCAGGGAGAAATCTAGTCCACTCCTGGGATTCTGTCTCTGAAGTACGTTTTTACTTCCATGATGATATCCGCCATAGTATGCAGACCAGATGTAAACTTGAATTTTAATCAGATCTTACTGTGGGCGCAGAGATATGCCTCACTAGTTCATTTGCACTGGATGGGAATTAAACTACTGATTATTGTTTAATGAAGAAAATGGATGTCTGTTTTTGACATCTCTGGTATTACAAATTCTCACGTGTGGAAGCAGATCTGTCCACACAACAGATTGCAGAGAGTAAACAATATTGTATATCTGAATGACAACATTTTATTGCATTGTTCCTTTTTCTTTTTTTTCGTTTTTTTTAGGTATTTTGTAGTTATTTTCACCATTTTCACATTCTTTGTTTCAAATAAGCAATAATATTCTGTAAAACCATCCAATCACTGCATTTTTCAGTTTCAGGTGTTTTTCAGGACTAAAATGAAGGTTGTAATACAAAAGAAGGGTACAAATTTAGCAAAGCAGCATAAAGTAAATATTGAAACGTGATAGATTTTACCATGTCAACACGGAGGCATTTCTGCCTGCCTGTCAAAGGCATGGTTGCTCCAGCCACTGTGTAGGAACCACAGTCCTACACATGTTGCCTTGAAGCTCTGCCAAGAACACTTTCTTGATAATTTGGTGACACCCTGACTTCGTCATTTTGTTTTAAACTTCTAAATTTGTCAATAATTGCCCTAAGTAATATATTTAGTTATCCATTCTCAAATGAAACTTACTGTTGCACAATCCTCCAACATATAATGTTGCAGTTTTTGCAGCTTTATCACCTTTTTAAACTGTGTAAGTGGTTAAACATGTAGCAGACAGCACATTCTAAAATGAACACCAAAAGGGCAAGACAGATAAAAATAGATGAAAATATATGAAATGTAGGGAACTTCAAAAAACACAAGAGCATAAAAAGTTAGAAGATTAGGGCATCTTGACAAACTTGCTCAGATATGTGGACAGAGATTTTAGACTGAATCATTTTCTAGAAATATGCTGAAACCAACATGTTAAAATGGTGAGATCACAGAAACAAAGTGAATGAAGAGATAGTGGTGTGCCATAGCGCTTCAGTCTGTCTGATTAATCATTCTCTGAGAAATCTTTTCAAATGCCTTTATAAAAAGGTAACTTTAAAACTCCTCCAGATTCATTCACAGACACCAAACCAAGACCCCTTTCCTTTGAATTGAATTATGAAAGTCTCATAAGGCTTATAGATGTCGTGTCTACGCTGTGCAATCATTTAAACTCCTTTGATATGCACAACTGCCCATCCACCTCAACAATATTCCAGGCTGAATAAACAGAAATTTATTTTACTAAAGGGAGAAAAGCCATGTAGATTTACATGGCTTTTCATGTCTTGGCATCTTCATAAAGAATTCATTATTTTAACAAATTCATAAGCTGTGTTTACAAATAAATAATCCCTCTATATTTTTATTATCATAGTTAATGTTTTTTTTATATTCTTACCACTTTTAGGACTTTTGTGTGACAGAAGATGGAGTGGGAAGCTATCTGTTCTTTGCACTTCCTTTGTCCATTATTATTGAAGATTTTTATGTTTTGAGAATGACAACAGACTTACTGTATGTGTTCACTGGGTAATTAGAGCACTCAGCCGCTTGTTATGATTCATGTCCTGTCCTATGCTGTGTTAAGCACTTGTTCAGCTCACCTGCCACACCTGATTGCTTACCTGTTCCACCTGGGCCTCGCCCTACTTAAACACCTCTCAGTTGCTGCCTCCTTGCCAGATTAGCGACAGCCACGAGCCAGTAGAGATCCAGCGTTTCCTTCCAAGCCTTCAGTGTTTTTACGACCCCTTTCTGTCCACGGATTTACCCCTCCTGCCAAGCCCTTCACGGATCCCTTCTGTTCTGGATTTCTGGACCCTGACTCAAGCTCTGCCTCACGACCACTGAATATTACCTGCCTCTCAAGCTAAGTTTGCTCTCTCTGTCCTCCTGTGTATTACCTCTGCCTGATTATCAACAAAGTCCCTGGGTATTGTGTTTTGGATCTCCTTGTGGAGATCTTCATTGCTTCCACAGAAGCCTGTTCTAACTGGTTTCCTGCATCTCCCTGTCGTCAAACCCTCAGTTCCCCTGCTCCACCCATCCACTGCTCTACAGGTCAGATAAGTTGAGGATTTCGAAGATGCCCCTCCTTTAGCTGTGCATCACCAGCCGTCTCCCCTCTCTCCTTAGTGTGTGTTTGACAACCTCTTCCTGAGCAGCAACTAGTATCTGAAAATAAATTAAACTTGTTTTTTTTCTTTGCGTACTCCTGTGTGTGGTTGAATTTCTGGGTCCCCACTGAGTGTCCTTACAGTCGCTATGTGATGTTTTGGCATTTATCACAGCATACTGAGGCAAATGGCCATAATGAAGAAAAACAGATTGCTTAAGTTGGTAGCAGATTGGATATTGTTCATTACATCACATCCTGTAAAGGGGTCACACCACCAGATATCCAGTTGGTGCAACACAGAGCTAAGCTTAAAATAAACATATCTGCATTTAACTAGCATTTGACTTCTAAAAAAATCAACTATGTGAATGAAATAAGAAATTTGTTTAATTAATGCATAATTCAAACATTGTCACTGACATTTTACAATTTTAAGATGCCTTTTTAATATTTTTACATTTTTACCGAAGAAGCAATCATAAATTCATCCTAGACCTGATAAGTCATATAGTGTTAAAGTGTCCAAGCTTTCAGAGCAACTTCAGCTGCCCATGCTTTCATGAAGCAGGCTTTTCTTTCTGGTTATTCTGTGTAGTGGTTTTTTTTAAATAACAGCCAAGGAAAAAGTCAAACAGATGGTCTGAACCTATGTGGGTCTATGACAGTGTATTTACCTGTGTTCGAAGGATCTCTCCTTTGGTTAACTGCATGTCTCCAGTGAGTTCTTTAACAATGATGCCCAGGGGTTCCAATCGCTTACTGAAGTAATTAGTCATCTCAGCTGCCAAGGCCTTCATTGGAGCCACATATACTATCTGCAGAGAGAGGAAGGGAGAGAGAGAAGTGTGGAAATAAATAGGATATATGTAGGAGTGCTAAGGTGAGCAAGGTAGAAAATGGAGGTAGAAGTTGGAAGGACACTGTGGTGATAATTGAGCAAAGAGAAGTAGGATCATTTGTTCCCTGGCAACCGGTACAATTCACAGTTCATGGAGAAATATTAAAACAGCTGCTTGCATGAGGAAAGTTTAATGGTTGATGTATGAAAAGTGACTATGTAATAAGAGTGTAAGATCTAAAGATGAACAAAACTGTTGGATGTGTTTGAATAAAAAATATCAATGGTAGAATATTTTAGAGGTCCAACACTGTGGGTTTCTGTGAAAACATAAGTTTTATAGTCACTAACTTTATTGTTACAGACCCAACTCACATTGAAATTGTTCATTTATTGTGCAGCTTTCTGAACTAAGAATCTATGTTGTAGAAAATAACAAAACCTCACCTATATCAAATAGTATTTGGGCTGAACTTCATTAGATTTAAATGTAATAAGACTGAGCTGGGCTTAAGTAATACATAATGCTCACCATTGTGTTGAAATGGATTGTTTGTATTAAATTAGTTGGATATAAAGATATTAGCCAAAATTTGTGGTTAGTTCCACTTTGTCTGAATTTCCTCTGAAACTTAGGGAATTAAGAGTTCATTTCTGACCCCACCATTCCTGCCTACTGTAGTGACACTTTACACCTGAATAAGTTAGTTTAGTCAACTCCTAAATCACAGCAACACCAACTAAAACAATATCTTGCTGATGTTTTAATGAGCAATATGAGGGTCAGACCTTAAATTCATCCTTTTTGATAACGCCACCAGGCTGTAGGTGCTGACGGATCTCATGCAGGACTGTCAGCATGGCGATGTTGGTCTTGCCAGCACCAGTCGGAGCGCAGATCAAAAGGTTTTCATTGGTGTTGTAGGCTGTCTCAAATACTAGAGACTGGATCCTGTTCAGACTCTTCATTCCCTTGAACACCAACTGTCCGACCTGAGCATAAAAATTTAGCAGAAGGATTAATAGAAGTCATGTGTGACTCAGGACAAAAAAAAAATCCACTTTAAAGATGATGACTATCATGATGATGATGGAACATTCAATTAGGAAAAAATAAGATCAATATAGTTATTTTTCCTATCAAACCTTCAGTTGTCACTGAAAGTGAAAAACATGTCTTTGCTGAGCAGTTTCCGCAGATCAGTTTAATGTAACTTCTTAATTTAAATGTAAATTAATAAATTCTTCCACTTTCAAATACTAAAATTATTGTTTTAATCTCAAATATAATTTTAAATGGGGAATGAGCAGAGAATGTCCAAGCAAAAAAAATAAATACATAAAAAATACAGGGTTCAATGACTGACGTAGTCACTCACACAGCTGAGTGGTTTTTAGCCAGTTTCCACTGGCACTAGATCTGGGCCAGCATCAACATTTTTTGTGAAAATGCCCCTACAGCCAGCCACCATTCAGTGATAAACCCACCCTGTATAGTCTACCATAGCAATTCTGCTGAAGCAAAATGCAGGCAAGTGATCTATGACAGTGTCAGTGTCTGAGCCAAAGTGTGTCTGAGGTGACTGTGCAGTGAGTGGGGCATTAAAAAGCACAAAGAGAAGAAAAGTGTATATGTTGGGATCAGCTGTCACTCAAACTGCCCTCCATCTGGCTTCACTATGGCAACAGAGTGTGGGTGATGGCCCTCAATCTTACCCTGCCTTTGATAAGCACAGAGTGTCACACACTCACACAATACTGTAAAAACACAAGCAAACAAGGTTCTTTCATTTCATTATGGAAAACACATGTACCACTCAGACACTTTTCCTGAAGAGATTATAAGATTTCAATACTAAAAATACTGTATATTATATGATAAAGACAAATGAGATGTCATTGATTAACAAAACAAGATCTTCACATTGCATATGAGCACTATCAAACAGATATCAAGGTTTCCCCCAGTGTATTATAGGCTTGGTGGCCCGCCATGCTTTACTACCCCCACCGCCAGGCTAAGCCTTTATTGTTTTTGGGGTTTTTTTTAAAGGAAAATAAAATGGGGGGGAAAAAAATTGCGTTTTTTTGTTTTTTTTTAAGCCGGATTGCTGGCGTCTCCGTTACTCTGAACGTTTCACTATCAGAGCAGATTTATTCCTAAAAGATATGGTTATAGAAGATATCTTTATAGTTTATGCATTTAGAGCATGAACTGATAAATCACCGCTGGCGCTTCTGTGCATTGCCTCGCGCGCTGTAGCA